ATTTGTCTATTTTACGAGGAGGAACTGAAAAAAAGTCTGCAGTAGAGAGCAGACACTTAGATCCTAGTGGTACAGGACTGTCTCTGCACCAGGGTAATGTTTGCTCTACAGCAAGACAAACCAAGCCAGAACTCTGCCTTCACATCCAGTTTGGAGCTGCAGGGGAAGGCCCCTCACCCCAGCAGCTGTGTAACTAATCCCTTCAACAGCCTCCAAGAGTTTGTCTCCTCAGATGTCCTTTGCTGGTTTCTTGCCATGTGAGCACTGGAAGGGGGGTGCAAGGAGTGTGCACAGACTGCAGCTGGCATACCCATGGGTTGTCACTGGACAGAACAGTGGCTTTGGATGCCAGACTCTTTGGGCATTGTCCCTGGCCATCTCCTCTCCTCATCCATGCGTCACCAAATCACCTTTCCCCATGCATCAGAGAATATGAACATAACTCCAAAATATCCTCAAGAGAGAACTTTTAGAGGGATGTTTGGCTTGTCTTTCCTGCTCAATTGATGTTCTGAAATATGTGCAGCCCGCAGGACTCAGAGTTCTGTAGTGTTGGTTCCTCAGCTGAGCCCCATGTCAAAAATTTACTCTGATTTTGTTCAAATACCAGTAAGGGGCATAACCCCATAACCAAAGAAAGTTTAGGGTTCATAGCTGTTGTGCTTATCCAAACCTCACTGAGGATATATAATACCCTTGGCCATAAGTTGCCTGAGTGTTGCCATAACTACTCCTGAAGACCTCTGTCCACTTTTTGCCAGTGCTGGTTTAAGATAATGCTATTGATCTCTCCACAGAGATGAGATGGAACTTGGTTGTTCCATTACATAAACCACCTTCCTGCACATTGCTTCAACAGACTTTGAGCAGTTCTGTTTTGGATCAGGAGCTGTCCACTGTACATGGGGAAACACAAGCAATCGTAGAGAACAAGAACTCCAGAATATTCTTGAGGAGTTTGTACATCAGCTGAAGCTGCCAGGATGGAAAATGAGGGTGGACTAGTTTGGATCTCCTCCTGCAGCAATATGATGCAGCAAATAGGCATAGCAGAACTCTTTTTAAGCTACCTGCTCCTGTTCTCTCCTGTTCAAGAAAAGCAGCTTGATTCTCTCTCTTCTTCACACAGGACACAAACCCATATATAACCCTATAAACCCATACCAAAAACAGTCGTGAAGAACTACTTATTACAGCAGCAGCAAGCCAGCTTCTTACAATAACAGAGACCTTCTTGCATTCTTGCTTACATGTTTCTCCTGCAATCTTAGTGACGTGGCAGTCTTGGAAATGCTGAGATCTGTTCCAGAATCTTTGTCATTTTTCTTATTCCCAAAGTGATATTCTTACAGTTTGCAGAATAACTCCAGCAGAGGGTTGTAGATTAAGCTGTGGCTGTAACTTGCAAGTGTCTTCATCTTAACTGTATCCACTTCATCTCGAAGGTTAAGTGACAGATTCTCTGGTTTGTCTAAAATCAATTCTGATGTCACTGGCATCATGACTGTCCTGGCAAACCCCTGAAGGCAGATTGCTGTTCAATTTACAGACAAGCTTCACAAGGACTGAATAGATCCATGAACCACAGCAAGACCTCTGACCTGACAGAAACATGAAGAGAGGAATGAAAAGCTATGACGTGGCTTTCAGCTTTTCTTGAATTCCTGAAGCACCATGGCAGAGTCAGGGAACACCAAAAGAGCTGCTGGGGGAGCCCTTTAGCCCAGGACCCAGCACCATCCAGTAACCTTTCCTCTGCCATGCCAGGCTCTGGTACCCCAGAAGCTGAACCCTGCAAATCCAGGTCAAAAGCAGGAGCTGAGAATGGCTTACCTACAGACAAGTTCCAAATAGCAGATACACATCACCTTTAGCAGGACTGCAGTTACCCATTGCTTAATGAGACTTAGGGGCAAAGCAAGGAGAGAAGTGATCTTACAGCAGGTGTCTGGCACATTATTACAGGTCCAGACCACTCCAGCTAGGTCTAGACTGGTCACAGTTAAGTGGCTTGGATGTTTCTGTTGTTTGGTTTTGCCTTTTTATTGATTTTTAAAATGGCTTATTTCTGCTCAGTCCCTCTTTCAAGGGAGTTTGCTGTTTAAATAGAGTAATTGTCTTTATTTGAGTCTGCATGCCAGAGGAGAGGTTTGCAGAACAGAAATCCTTTCAGGAGTTGAGTCACATGTTGATCTGTAACACAACAAAACAAAAAGAGCTGTTCCTCACTTGTATCCAGCTTGTGAGTCAGCTTTAAGTTTTTGTCCTTACAAATACTTAAACAAATGTTGGTCCAATGCCCACGGTTGCCTGATGTCCACGGATTCATTTAGCCTTCCTGGGACCTCTTCTTTCCATGCAGCTTTGTCACAGTGTGCTGAGGAGTTGGGTGGGCAGAGCAAGTGTGTCCTACTGCACCTGGGGAATCCACGCTGAGAATCCATGAGGAATGACAGCTCTGAGTCTCTGCAGTGGCATGGAAACATGTAGAGAATTTGCACCCAGCAATATTTACTTCCTTCTGTGGAAGGACTTGACCAAAGGTGGCTAAACCACCACATAAAGGAGCTGAGAGGTGCCTTGTCCTAAAGAGAGAGAGATTTTTTGTGTTAAAGTGAGTTCCAAATCAAAGACCAGGGTCTCTACAATGTTTCAGGGCTTGCAAGATGACACCAAGAAACCTGCCACTCATGATCACTTCAGGTCTTCAGGAGAGGCTGCCTTCTGATAACTTCCCCAAAAAATCCTCTACACTGTGCAAAGAGAGCAGGACAGAAATTATTTCCTTTCTTACACTGATTTGAGAAAATGTATCAGTGTCAGCCCAAAACAAGCCTTTAAATTGCAGTGAATTTGAGAGTTATGGACAAAGGAATGGTGCCCCCAAGTCTTCATAACCAAAAAATGGAAGTGGTTCTTTCTGGCTCACCTGGTGACTTGCAGGAGCAGTAGCTGCACACCTGGGCAGGTAAAGGCCGTGCTGGGAACTGAGCCAGGCTCCTCAGGGGAACATGCAGGCAGAAGGAAAAGTCATCCAGAATTCCAGCTGCTGTGGGTTCAGTGTGTGGTACAGCATGGAGAGATGTTGGATGCTGAGGTGCAAAAAGATGTAAGATAGACTGGAGTGCAGTGTGGGGAACAGTTTGTCTGTGTGGTATTTCAATACAGCTGATTCAGTAAACTTAGCTCTAAAACCAGCTGCTAAAAGCAAAATCAGTAGAAATTAAGCATAAACTTTTTCACTGAGCTCGGTAAAGCACTTGTGAACATACAGCACATCTGAAATGAAAATGTTGCTGATGGAAATTATATTTTATTCAAATTTCTGTTCATTTTTGCAGTGTATAAGAAAGCAACTGGACAAAACTTATAGTAAGAGAGAACACCAGGAATGCAGTAGAATGAAATCCTCTTGCTACCAAAGGATGGATAATATGGATTTAAGACATAGGAGCAGCAGCAAACCCCAGACTTCAGCATACTGACTTTGATATTGTACTGTAGAAGAAAAATAGGCCAAAAATATTATACATATTATATGACATGCTGCCCATATATCTTTAGTCTTAATTGAAATGATTCTCAGCACTCTAAATTTTAGCTAACATTTCAGATTAGAAATCTGAATTTTATTCTTTCTGATCAATTTTATTCTTTCTGATCAATTTTTTCTGTTATCAAATTTAAAAATTCATAAAAAATTCTATCCTGAAATGTGTTGTTGCAGCAGATCAATGGGACCAGCAAGATTAATAAGGATTGCAGGACTGAACAATGGAGAAGTTGAATAACTGGACCATTGCACATTTCTTTGTAGGAAATCAATTACTTGGGTTCTTCTTGATGATTCGGGTTAAAGGGATAATAGAAGCCAAGAAGACATTAGGACCTTTTAATGATTAATAGTAGCTTTTGAGTATATTTTTGGCACTGTAAAACCGGGTTTTCATTTCTAATTACTTTGAAGAGGGAAAAGACAGGGAAATACTTTTCTATCTTTATCAAACTGTATCGGAGAAAAGAGCACAAAAGCGCTCCAAGCTTTTCTCAAAGACTCACTTCATTACTCCCATTTTCTGTTATTTCTCTGTTATTTTTTCCATTTCTCTGGTTAGTGACCACACACCCAGTCTTTGACAGGCACAGAAGTTCACAAATTGCCATGTTCCCAAGGGATACATGAGCACATAGGAGTGAATATGATTTAGTGGAACAAATCTCTGCACCTGGGTTTTAATCAACCACTTGTTTCTTTCCATTGCTCTGCATATGTACAACATCTGATTCCTGGCACCCAAGACCTACTGGCTACTTTTATTATTCATAGGCTTCACTTCATTTGCATAAATGAATATTTGCTCAGAATGTCTTACCCCCTTGAATAATACAATGGTGAGGGGTAAGTATTAGTGGTGCTTTCTTGCCAACACACACAGGGTAAAAGCTGACACTGGGTTTCAGGGAAACAAGGTTTAGCAGGGATAGTGGTGACAAGGTGCATTTTTGTAGTAGCTGAGAGCTTGTGTCATCCTTGTGTTCGAGATTCTTACCCTGAAAACCTAAGGGTCTGATAACGTTTGGGGACACCACATTAAAGAAGTGTTATAGTAGAAGAAAGATGCCATATAATAAACTGTTGTGGGGACTGAATGTCTTGTGTTCTATCTGTGAAAATCGAATGTTACCTAGAGAAACAAAGAGTAATGTCAAACTCAAGTCTGTTCACATTACCTGATTAGTTATCCCAAACATTATCAGTATTCTCCAAAGAATAGCAGTTGTATTCTCAGAATGCCCAACACATATGTGCCTTATTAAATAGCAGTCAAATTACTTGTTTGGGAAATGAAGAATTGAACCACTACAAATTATCACAGATTTTTCTTCCCTAGTAAATGAACGTATTTGAGTATAAGTGTTTGACAGTGGATTTTTAGTGCACTTTTACACAATAACATGCATGACCCTGTGTGCTGTTTTTCTTTCATTCCGTTTTCCAGCTGCCTGCCCGGTTCTGTGCAGTGGCAATGGTCAGTACTCCAAAGGCACCTGCCTGTGCTACAGTGGCTGGAAAGGTCCAGAGTGTGATGTGCCCATCAGCCAGTGTATTGACCCCTCATGTGGAGGTCATGGTTCCTGCATCGAAGGGAACTGTGTCTGTTCTGTGGGCTATAAAGGAGAAAACTGTGAGGAAGGTAGGATATTTATTTTCTCTGTTGTTAGTTTGTTTTCTGGGTTCGGGACTTATTTAATGGCTAGGAAAAAACTAAAGAATAGAATAAAAATCTAAGCATAAGATTGCTATAGCAGGTAAAAGAGGGTAAAAACATAGTCTGTCACAATTTTACTGATCTATCAGAGTTCAGACAAAACTTCAGGCCTTCTGCCTACATTGATTTGCAGTATTAAGAGTGTGTGCCACAAGTAAACCTGAATAATTCCTCTGTTGTAGAGCAAAGAAAATCTTTTCTTATGGATTATGTTTGCCGAGCAATTTAGATGTGAAATGCAGAGGAAAAAGGAGCAGTGGTATACAAAATTGTATAGCTTCAACTACACACAAAGCACTTATCAATCTCTATTAAGACAGAAAGTGATGAAAACTATTTGAAAGACTTGGATATCTATGTTACTTACAGACATAATGTGGGGCAAATTACTCCTGTTGGCTGCAATCATATGGGATTAAGGAAAGGTAGATGGCACACACGAACAATAACTGTCCTTTCAATGCAGAAAAGCTTTTCAGGTTGAAAGTGTCCAATTCCTTGAGTATGTAGAATAAACAAATTTTAAAAAATAACCCATGCAAAATGTGGTCATAGATTAAGCTCAATAATGGTTGTAGTCACAGAGTTTTCTGTTAGAATGCACAACGTAAACTGGACTGCTTTTCTTTTTAAAATGTATTAATGTGCTCCAGAGTTAATTAATCCTCCAAACAGAGAAGTAGCTTAAGTACTGAAGTGATAGGGCTGGGATGTCATGCTGTTAGGACCGAGGAGTCTCTCTGGATTGTTCAGAATGGGTTACAGACCTGTATTGATACTGTGTGTATTGATTTTTAGCTTGCCCTATTGTAAGCAACTGTCTCTCCAATCAGAAAACAAAGGGAAGAAAACTGTGGATAAACAAACCACTAAGGGTTTTATTCTCAGGACCACAGTCATCACCTTTAGGACAAGATCTTGCATTAGTGTGAGTGAACTTGTGGTAAAAGGGGAAAAAAAAAGCAAACCAAGGATCCTCACTGGTGGGACTGCAATTGTTTGTTCTGTTCATTCCTGTCACCTTCTTCCACTAAATCCTCTCAACACTGGTTATTAGAGTTTTTCTCCAGAATTCAGTTGAAGCCAAGAGTTTTTCCATTGTTTTTATTGGATTGCATTTTAAACTATATCCAGAAAATGCTGTAATGTCCTTTTTTTTCCCCTTAGAACTGATAGTTCTCAGTTCACCCTGAGTGTATGATACTAGGAGATATTAAAAAATTATGAAATGCTTTGCTTGAACTATTAGTCTCATCAAAATCGAAGATGGAAAAGACTGTCTTTAACATGCTCTACAGCACCCAATCTATTCCCCAGGGATGCAGAACCTCTCTTTCTGCTGCTAACTGCAGTTGTTTGCTTGGTCTTGCTGAGTTTTATACATTTCATTGTATTTTCTTTTGTTGTATAAATGTGTGTGTTATCAGAGAGATTGTTAGATAGCCTAAAATGGTCTTTATTTCATTTAATTCAGGAAATTTTACCTTGCAAGCCATTCCTCCCTCACTTTGATTGTAATTTCCAGCTCCTTGCATGGAATTCTCTCTCTGCTTTCAGTTCTCTAGAATGGCTGTGGTCTGTCTGGGCCATGGATCCCCATGGATCTATCTACCTTGGATCTCCAAATTCCTGTAAGAGAAATAGGCTCCTCTAGTGCTTAATCCATCTTATCCTCAGGTGAATGTTTGGAATGGTGAAGCAAGGACACCAGCAGCTCCAGAGGAGTTTATGGGAAAAGCCAGTGCAGGCTTTTTGCAAAGGTGTTGTGTTAACTCCAGCCAAAATTGGGGACACAACAAAACCATCAGTCAACAGAGCTTTTTGGGAGGTGAATGACTATGTGAGATGAAAGGATATATATTATTTAATCAACACTGTGCTTGGAAGGATACGTTTCTTCCTAAAAAGATAAATGGGTTACAAAGACAGCAGGTATCGATTGCAAACTTGGAAGGGGTCAAGAACATGACAAGAAAGGTTAAAGTAACCTTTTGCATATATGATTGGGCAATAAATAAGTCAATGAATTAATTTGCAAATAAATAAAAATCAACCACCGTGTTTATACCCTAAAATTCCATTTCTTCTGTACGTATTTCTCACATTAATTTGAGTGCTATGGGAGAAAGGGTACACTATGAAGTGGTGTCTCTGTAATTAATCATCTAGTCTTAGTTGAAGTTTTTGCATGAGTAGAAATTTTACACTTTTAATGGTAGAATGATAGAAATAATATTTCTGTATTTATATATAATATATGAAATCTTCTCTATTGATTTGAACTTCCAAAAGGAATGGCAAAGGCTGATTCATTTGCCATTTTCCAACTAGGATATTGAATTAGAATAAGTGGGTCAGCAATTTTTTTTTTCTTCCCAATAGTTTTTTATTTCTGATATTAATCATGGTTATATTGTTCAAACAATTTACCTGAAATGAAAGTGACACCAAAATCAATATTTTTGATGCATATTTTTTGCAGCACAAACACTGTTTTTCTATTAACAAATTTGCACAGAAGATGAAGTGGGGTATTTGTCAGGCTTCATTCAGTCTATTTTGGGGGGGGACACAAGTGAAATTGCCAAATTAGGTTAAGTTAAGGGTGGTTTTCTTGTCACTTTCCTGCCTGAGTCATTTTTCAATGACATTTAACTTCATAAGTGTAATTCATGGCTCTTTGGGGACTTCATGGTACATATTGTTCAGAAAACTCCTTGACCTCCTTTTTTGTCCTTAAGGATATAAATTGCTTTCAGTACCTTTTTTTGTCAAATCTACAGAGGGCCCAATACTAAATGAGCTCTAATGATCTGAGGTGCCAGGGGGCTGTGAGTTCCAAGCCTAACGTGCTTGCTAAGGCGCATTCTCCTTTGTTTAAACACCAAAGATGGTCCATTTATAAATCCTGATTAAATACCATTGTAAACCCTGCTACACCTCAGGACCAGAACCTCTGCAACACCAGTCAGTGCAGTTCCATTGCAGGTAATCACATTATGCTAATTTCAACAGCGAGGATCTGGCCCGAGATGATAACTCTGAGCATGTATTAAAATAGAACGAGATTGGAGCTCGGAGTAAAAACTCTCCTCAGTTTAAACTTTGAAAGCTACTACTTACCCAGATGATAGAACAAAACAGCTGTAAAGCACATTTGTCTAGAACAAAGGACAGAGGTGTTTAGTGTGTTATCCTGTAAAACAAGGGAGATTGGGGGCTTAGGGGCATTGATAGGCTCATTCTGTAGAAATAAATCAAAGCTGCATGAGCACTGTAATTCGGGATAGAGGGAAGACAGTTAATTTCTGTAGCAGAAGGTGGTGGTTTTCTTATGTTCCACATTCCTTTCATTAGTGCTTTCATTTGAGAAGGAAGATGATACATTCCTGACAAGGAGAGTACATTATGACTTATCATTATCTCCTAAAGTTAGCTGTCCTATAACAATGTTATACACGTATTACCCTTCTACATTTTCTGTTAAAATATATATTCTAAAAAAAATCCAGAATAGACCAAATGTAGGAGGGAAATAACCTTTATCCTTAGATTGACCTAAGTTTTTGTGTACTTTACTTCTTTATTCAATCAGACTGTTTTCTCACAGCTCTGTGTCCATTGAGTTCAACAGAAATTGGATAAAAGATGCATTGTAAACTTCAGAGGAGTTATAATTTGGCAAAACACAAAGAGTAACAATACAGGACAAGCACTCTGTGTAATTTAAAACAGTTTACGAATTATCAACTTTGAGGTGAACCGTAAACCAATCTTGGTTTACCTATAAATACGAAATTGCATTATAATATTTTCACATCCAATTAACTTTAAATCTTAAAGAAAAAAAGAAAAAGCAAACCCAAAGCAATAGCCAATGTCATCATTAAGGTGAAAATCTTATAAGAAATTTTACAGTAATTTATTCCTGTACTACTGTATTCTGAATTCTATACTATTTTATTCTGATAACTCATTTTGTTGCATCTCTGCCTGTCTCAATCCTCTGCCTGTATCTAATCAATATATTTGCTTTAAATGTTCTGCAACTAAATAAAATAGTTCGACAAGGCTCTATTTTTATAGAAAAGTTGTGATTTGAAAGATCAAGTATTGTTCACATCAGGTGGAGTGAAAATGTCTCTGCCTTAATTTAGAAGGATCAATTTGGAAAAGATGAGAGATAAATCACTTTCATTATAAACTCAGATCTTCCTGGAGCAGCAAGAGAGAATGCAAATCATTCTTGGTCCTGCTGTTGTGAGTTAATATATACCAGTCATGAGATGAATTCAAGTTATTTAAGACTTGAATTTGACCTTGGCCTTCAATTCCACAGCAAAAGGCACTTGGTAAAGCCTCCATGTGGGTATTGGCAGTAAAGCATAGTATTGTTATACAGATTCATGATATAAGATAAAAATTTGGAAACTCATAATGTTACTGATAAAGTTTATTTGAAAGACAGCTTGTAACATTCGTTTATCAGACTGAAATAGCAACTGAAATTTCATTGCATGATTTTCCATCATAACGATTTTCACTTTGTTGTTTCTGGGTTAAAATCCATATCTGTGTCTGGTTTTACTTCTTTAAGAGAAATAGTCTGCTGGTTTAAAGTATGGGTTAAAGCAACCAGGGCTCTCAGTTTCACAGCTTGTTTGTGGATCAGACATTCAGAAGTGCCTGAATGATTAGGAGTCTAAGTGAAGCCAAAAGCTACTGACATTTTGACTTCTGTGTACTTGAAGTGGCTGTCCTAATGTTCAAACAATGCTCTAACATTTCAATAGTAATAATAGCAGTTTTTATAAAGATACTCCAAATAAAAATTCCTTTAAAACTGCAAATTATTAACTTATTTCGTAATTGAAATACAGTGCATGAGTCATTGGAGTTTCAGTGTATTTCAGAAGAAATGTCTCCCGGTTTATGTGTGGAACTCTTGACTATATATATATTTAAGTGCTGTTTTTAAGCCTTCGTGCTTCTCCACCACAGCATTCCTGCAGTTTGCACAATCAAACCCCGCTTGATTTATTTAATGTAAAATGTAGATTACTTCACTTTCCCATTCTCAGACCAGGTATTAATACGACTTGGAGAACTACCTCAATTTGCTTTATTTATCGCTGCAGTACAGACTTCTCACAGCGCCTTTCCCAAACACCCCCTTTGTGTGAATGACCCCCGTGTCCCTGGTTTTTGTCTTCTCCTGCAGTGGACTGCCTGGACCCCACGTGCTCCAGCCACGGGGTGTGTGTGAACGGGGAATGTCTGTGCAGCCCGGGCTGGGGAGGTGCGAGCTGCGAGCTGCCCAGAGCGCAGTGCCCGGAGCAGTGCAGCGGCCACGGCTCCTTCCTGCCCGACACGGGGCTCTGCACCTGTGACCCCAACTGGATGGGCCCCGACTGCTCTGTCGGTAAGAAAAGGAGCTCTTCCTCACTTGGCCATGGTCTTGCTGTTTTGTCGGGAGGTCACTATCTATGGCAAGTTTGACATGCGGGAATAATCGAGAAAGTTGTCTTCGGGCTTGTGTAATTTAGTTGGGAAGAGGCGTGTATATACCTCTATGTATATTTTCATGACATTCTTAATTTGGGGCTGTGAGGTTGTTGCAGGTTAGGAGTTTGTGTTTTGTTCTAACACTGATTCTCTTTTAGACCGAAAAAGTTACATAAGTGTACTTCTGCTTTCCAACTGTAAATGAAAATATCCAACTGTGAATGAAAATGAAGGGTTTTTTTCATTTATGGGAAAAAAACACAGGGAATTTTGCTTTTACATTGTCAGTTGAATCTTGAGATGCTGCTGTAGGTCAAAACCAAGTCTCTCAAAGCAATATTTACATTTTTCACAGTTATTCAGTTATTTCCTAAGGTTAATCAGCTGGAATACTCCACCACTGATATGAGAATATCAAGATGCATTTTCTGCTTTATGGATAAGCAGTCAGAAAAATTCAAGAATGAGAGTTTCGCTGCCACTTTCTTTGGTGATGCATGGGGCAAAAGACCCTTCTGCTTATCTGCAACTTCAGCTGGCAGAGAGCAGTAGCTTTTTGGAGTGAGACACCGGATAACTGACCATGTTAGTAATAGGAATCCAAAATCTCTCCTTGGAAAGTGACTTTTACCCATCATTCTAAATGACCCTGAATTGCTGCCATTCTCTGCCAAATGAGTTTTAGGTGAGTTTCAGTCTCAATTCTTAGCAAATCAATATCTGTCAAAATCACGCCAGGTCCAGGTTTGAGTAAAGCAGAGCCAGCTGCTCCCCTCCTTTGCTGCTGGGGACTGCACCTCTGACACATTTGCAGGTCTGTGCAGTGTACATTCGTAGATTTTTTTAAACTCATGCCTTAGAGTGGCTACCTAGAACAGAGGCTAGACAAGAGTAAGAGAATAAAGTGGATATTTGTTAAAGGCCTTCTATAGATACACCTTGGGCAGTCAAAAGCCTCCGAGAGGGGCTACACCCAGGATGGACAATGGTCACGAGTTTTTCAGACAATTTTAAGTTTGGTCCATTTACATATGAGGGTTATTTACAATTACAGCTTCAGGGAATGAAGTCATATTCTCCCAGTTTGTTCTCCCTCAATTCACTTTTGTTTATACTTTTTGGGGCCTCAGACTGTTGGGTGTCCTTGAGTTTTGAGTCTAGAGAAATTGTTTTGTCTGACCAAAATGTGTAGACAGTAGCTAACACTTTATATGGAGTATAGAGTTATATACTAATGCAGTGCAGGATTTGAAAAATATAATTGTATTTATACTAAAAAAATACAAAGGCATTTATATTTAAAAATACAAAATTTGAAATTTTAATTTAGTTTGCTCTTAAGCAAAAATTAGAAGTTTTCATCAGAACGTGAGCAGGCCAGCTTTTGCGAGGCTGTGGCTCCCTTTCCCTCGGGGCTGGCTGTGACTGCTGTTGTCTCTCCTAGAAGTGTGCTCCGTGGACTGCGGCACGCACGGCGTGTGCATCGGCGGGACGTGTCGCTGCGAGGAGGGCTGGACCGGAGCGGGCTGTGACCAGCGTGTGTGCCACCCCCGCTGCACGGAGCACGGGACTTGTAAAGATGGGAAGTGTGAATGCAGAGAGGGCTGGAATGGGGAGCACTGCACCATTGGTAGGCAAACGACAGGCACCGAAACAGGCACATATTGCTTTCTTTTCATAAATCGTAGAGACATAGTTACTGTCGTGGACTGTAATGGGCTGTTCCCTTAAGGACCCAAGTGCTCTCAGATATCAACCCTGACTCAAAATGTGTTGAGGGAAATGCAGATAGGCTCTTGGAATCATTTCAAATCGGTAACAAACCGGTTTAGAGAGGAAAAACAAAACAAAATAAACAGAGAAAAAAAAACCCTTAAAACACAACAACAAATTCCGCATTAGTAAGTAAAGATGTAACAAATGGTACCATGTGTGATATCAACAAATACAACACATGCTGCTGTGGATGATATCTCAGTATCATCCGAGCCTGAATGATTTTCAAACTTAACTAAGCATTCCTTTGTGTGAATGGCCTCTTTCTTAATTTACCAGTCCAATGCATCAGTGCTCCCCTGCTGTTGTACATCACATGTGAAACACACCCCCAGCAGCAGCACCCAGAGCAGGGGTGGAGTGCTGGGGGCGTGTGTGCTCCTGGTGGTACAGAAGCAGATCCCTGGCATTCTCCAGTGGTGTTTGCATAGAGACAATGCCAGCATGGCAGGACCCCTTCCCTGAGAGCCTGCAGCTCACTGCAGCATCAGCATCAGAATCTCAGCTGGGCTCTGTCAGCCTGGGAAGTTCAAAAAGCAATAATGTTCTATCCTCTCAATTACCATGCTTGAACATTTACTCTGAAGAGGAATTAATTGTTCCTAAGTGAAGTTCTTTATTTTGTCTCTACAAGCAGTCAGGCAGTCTATTTGGATTGATTCGAAAATTTACTCAAAACAAAGGAGAAAACTGTTATTTTCTCTGAGCTGTAATCAAAAATGGGAAATTCTCAGAGATCACATCCCTTCTGAGAAGTCTGAGCAGATTTATCTGGAACAAGAGTATTTCATCTACTGAGACTGTGAGGTTCAGGCAAGCGTGCTTTTCTCCAGAGAATTTTTGGAGAACTGTGAAGTATGCCTTAGAAGAAATCTGGTGAGTCCAAATCCAAAGACATGTTGTTTTCATTATCTTAAGGTGAATTTAAGAAAGAAAAGAGTAGGTCACTTGAGATTTTCATGGCAGTCAGGGACCCTAATGGGACAGTCCTATTACAAGTGAATTGTTATTTCTTTACTTAAACGTATGGTGAGATTCTTGCATCCCTCAAGCTGTTTTTCTTTTTCATTCCCCTCTGATTTCTCTTTGGATATACAAACCATTTCCGATACATACATTAGTTGGAAACTAAAAGTATACTCCTATTGGAGAGATTAAAAAAAAAAAAAAAAGAAAATAAAAAGAAAAATTGGTACATATTTTCAGGGCATATCCTTTGATGTTGTGGTGCTGCATGCTTCCGCCACACTGTGCTAATATGATTTAAATCAAAGCTTTTATGACTGAACACTTTGTGACCAGCACAGATGCAGAGTGTTTTTTTCATAATTGCTTTCAGACTTCCATCATATCAACATACCTCCGCTAGATTAATGCAGGCATTTTGTTTTCAAAGTTCTTCCCAGATCTTTACAAAATGCCTAATGTATAATTTTTCATTAAATTTTGTAATAATTGCTTAGTTCAGAAGTTGATGCTTCGCACAATATTTGTTTTGCTGTATAATCTTAGTAATGTGCCAATGTTTAGAAGTAATTAGTGTATGTAAAGTCTTCATTACTGTGCAGACAAAAAGATGCCTTTTGCCAAGATGTCAAAAGTATGCTGAAAATTGCAAGCTGAACTAGTGAACTCTGAAGTGAGATTTTAAGTCTAATTTCAGAGCTTTGAACTAGTTATCTTCCTTATTATTGATGTCTATAATCAATTCTTTCCAGAGGAAGGGTGATCCTTCTAAAGTGATTAAAATATGCATAAGCTTTTTTTGTTTGGTATGTATTACACAGATTTCCTTGAAACTTAATGTGGTCCTGCCTGTGGCAAAGATGAGACTAGTGCAAAAATTTCAGGTATGCCCTTCCAGTTATCATGGATGAAGTTTGTGCAGTCAGAAGTTGTCTGTTGCATGCAGACGCAGAGTTTTGTGACAGGCCTGAATTAGCAGGAATTTTCACATCATCATGTCCTGAGGCCATTTATAAAAGCACAAAGGCTGATGCCAGGAGTGTCACTGAGTTCAGAGAAATAACTCGGTGTGACCCCACTGGTTCGTGTTACATGGAGCTGAAACACGGAGTTCAGAGGAAAAGGATGGTAAAAGTGATTTTTGTCAGTATTGGTACGAAATTTCTAGAAGTTACCACTGAAAAATTTCTGCTTAGAGTGAGCTGAAACTTTGATACAACAACGAGTTGCTCAAGATGTTTTAAACGTTGGTGTAAAGAAGTAAAGTGCACTTAAATTTTACAGAAACCCACTTCATTTAGAGTACTGCCTTTATGGTTTCATTTTCAGCTGAAAGTTTGACACACCATTTAATATCAGAATTACTGAGGAGAGTCCGCCTATAAAGATGTCCCAAATTAGTCCTTTCTGGAAGGTACCTGACAAACTGCACAGTCTGTTTGTCCTAAGGCAGAAAATGAAATCCTGTAGGAGAGGTTATTTACTCTGAATTTCCATTTTTGCTACACCTAGTCTAAAATGAAGACAGCAGAAAAACTTACTTTGATTCCAGTGACTTTGGGCCAAGTCCACTTAGAATAAATGTATCTGTGAGGAAGAAAAGGAGATTTCTATATACAAACCATTTTCTTTTGTTTGTGTGTCTTTACCAGTTTCTTTGTGATATATTTACATGGCAGTGGAAAAGAAATCATAGCAACCTGCAGATATCCAAGTTCATTCAGGATATTTTATTCTATTTAATATCAAATTAGGCTTTAATAGATGCTTGACAGAATGCACACTCTTTGTCATTTAATTGTTGAGTATCTAAGCTCAAAAGTTTTAATAGAACTACATTTTTTCTCTCTGAATTACCTGGATTAAGAAAAGCTCTCAGAAAATCCTCCCAGAACAGCAGTGTGAGCTCAGTGTTAGCACAGTGTTTGTGCAAAGCAGCTTTTGCCTGTGTGCAATAGAATTATGGGTAAGAATCAATGCAAATAAAAATGCATGCGTGTTCCAAGTTACACAGATTTTGATAAATCTATATATAAATAATATTAAAGTGAAAGGAGTGGGTGTCTGGTCTTGCTCAGCTGCTGCTCAAAGCAGAGCAGAACTTCACTTTGCTACTTCAGGTAAGAGAAGAAATTGCTTACTGGAGTGGTGATAAAGAAAATTAATCTTTTCCCAGTGCAAAAATAGACCTGTCAGGATATGTTTATTAAGTGATTGCTATTCATTGATTGCAATTATGGAGGAAGTTATAACTAAATAATAGAGGGTAATCTAGATTAAAAAAAATATTGGAAAACTAATAACAAAGTGAAAGAAGGGTATAGAAGTTGTTAATCTTGAATCCATTTCATGACAGAAATTTAAGATGGAAAATTCAGCTTTTCCTTGAATCATCTGAAGGTTGTTAAAGCATGCTGCTATAAAACAGATCTGTTACTTTCACTGAAAATAATATCTGGATGTTTAAAACTGTTGGTTTTAAATGCTTGCAGAGGATGTTCTGCATATAAACTGTAAAGATAGTATTCCAAGGACAGTGTGATATATATGGAGATCTTATGAAACACTCAGAAATACCATTTTAAAAGTGTAATTCCATCTGTAATTCATATCCCTGGAGCATAGACTCTTATTAAGTTATTGGTAAAAATCTCACTGGGAGACCAGTGAAAGCAGGATTTAATCCTAAATATTTACAAGTAAAATGTAAATGTCTACAAATGGATCTTTTAAGGTGAGCTCTAACCAGAAGGTAATATATGAGTTTTTCTTTGTTGCTGCCTGTTCTATTCCCAAGCCTTGCTCTTGTCTGCTCATGTCCTCCATTAGATGTAGGTTAAGCACTCCTTTTCAGACTCCTTTCAGAAGGTGGGAAAAGGTTGTACTCAGGGCTATGTGGTAATATGGATACTCTGCTGCAGATTTTGATCCTGACAGTTCTTATATTTTATGATTTTTTTTTAATGTAAATGAGCTATACCCCTGGTACAGGCATTGAAGCTGAACCTCCACCTGCCTGCATGACAAAACACAAACAGGTGATGAGTCCATCTCTTCAGGCTCTGCTTAGGTTCATTTAGCTTAGAAAAGACCCTTAAGATCAAGTCCAGCCATAATCCTCACACTGTTCTGACCTTGGTACTGCTTTCTGAAATCTAACTCCAGAGTTGGTGATCAGCAACTTTCCCCCACTGAGTCTAAACTACTAAAACTGTAAAAATTGTAGAACAAGTTCCTTGGTAAAGAAGGGGTTTAGAAATCTGTATTAGCTCTGTATCTTATCTTCTATGTTTTCAAGGCCATGAATAAAGGAGAAAGATTTGAAAAAAAGTTAGGATTATGATACCCACCTATGTGGTGGAAAATAACCTAATATTTTCAGATGTATAAAAATGTGCAGGAAAAAGAAAGAACTTGGTGTCTAGGATGATTAAGAAGTTTAAGTTACAGTACAAGATATTTGTGTTAGGAAAAAAACATGTTACAGGTAAATGAAAAACTGAAGGAGGTTGTCCAAGCAAATTGTGAATTCCTCATCAGTGGAGGTTTTAGTGACCATTTAGACAAATACTTGTCAGATATAACAGAGGTAATGAATCCTGCCCTGGGGCAGCAGGCTCACCAGGAAATCGTTGAAGTCTGTGGACTGTCTTCTAGTCTCCTCTTAAATGAGCTTTGGAGGAAGCATTCCTTCTAAGGACTTTATTTTTAATGGCCCACCTTAAGAATTGTACTGTCATTACATTTAAGAATCCAGTGCCACTGCTGGAAAGTAGAATTGATAATTTATCCAACCAGGGAGTCTAATCTATGTGTTCTGTATTTGCAGAACAATGAGTTGTCAATGTGGATATTGAGCCACTCTGAAACATCCAAACAAACTCACAACCAGTAGGTAAATATTTAAATTCTCTCCCTTTAAAGGTGAACACTGTGTGGACCATATTCCACCTCTAATTTTAATAAAAAATTGTTTACTGAAAACTTTTTCCCCCTGAGTGCTTTGGGATGACCTTCCAGCTTTTAGACATGGTTGTATTTTCTATCAGCTGAATGGAATACCACAAGTAAAGTGTAAAGATTTAG